CAATTAAATGGTAAATCACCTTGTGTAAAAATTCAAATTTTTTTTTACAAATAATCTTTTTTTCTCCAGGATATATATTTCCAACCTTTATGTATGTACAAAAGTCTGCGTTTCCCTCATGTGTGTGGGATCATGTGTGTGAGTGCGTGTTCACGTGAAGGTCAACAGTTTACCTCTGGTCTCCCTGGTCACACTTCCCTTACGGTGGAGGTAGGGTCTTTCACTTGAACCCAGAGCTTGTAGACCCAATCAGTCTAGCGAGCCAGCTTGCTCCCCAGTGCTGGCATTCTAGGTGGGCTGCCACACCCCTCTGGCATTGCTGAGTGTGCTGGAAATCCACTCTGGCTCTCATATTCAGGTGGCAAACCCTTTACACCTCTACCTATTTATGAATTGAACTAGGAACTCACACTACTGCTGCCACAGCCCCAAACAATTCATACTAATTCTTAAACAACGTATGCTAAAAACCAGCCAATGTTTAAACTTCTCTGATTATCTTGTGTTTACGTTTGCAGTTGTTTTGAGTAAGGTCCAATAAGGACCATATGATAAAGCTGCTGCTTCTTCTCGACCTAGTTCCTTTTCCGTGTTCTGGTTTTGTCCTTGCAGGTGGGGAAACTGAGTCACTCGCTGTTAAAGCTTTCTCTCAGTCTGGATCTTGCTGGTTGCACCCATCAGGATCTTTATCACGTTTTCTTTTCCTTTTGTTTTGTGTAGATCTGAAGGCTTGCTCAGGGACAGTTGGTTTCTCGCAGGTGGGTGGGTTTCACTACTCAGAGTCCCTTTGTTTTAGGGGACAGCTGAACCAGGATGTGGTTCTTGCCCAACTATTAGCTCAGGTTCTTCTACAAATTCTCATTCACTCTTTGGTTCTCAGAGGTTCATTTTACAACAATAGTGGGACGGATGCTTCTTCTGACAGATGCTGTTGGTTTTCAGAGGAGTAAGTTTTCCCAGGTGACTACTGCATTCTTCTGTCCTGAATGTGAACATGAACTTCTGAACATAGCCTCAAGAATATGGCTCTGTTTGTTATGGTTACCATGCCTCTGCGACACTCCAAGAGTTCCATATGTGGTCATAGGAAGCTGCTCCAGCTGCCACCTTTGTACTGTCTCTGTTAGATTTTCTTGCTTCCTGCTCTGACATTCAAAGTTTTCTCCCTGACATTCCCAGAAATATGGTGGTGTGTTTTCTGTGTAACGCCTAGCACTGACCTTTTCCACGAGAAACTTGGGGGTTTTTAGTGGGGGAGAATATCTCAGGACCACAGCTAGGTCCTAGGAACATCTGCCATTGGGTTCTTGTTTCCTGGTCCATGCATGTATAATATTAGGAAAATTTGTTATTTTTTTGCTAGTTATTTTTAGACAGAATCTTGCTATGTAGCCCAGGCTGGCCCTGAACACAGTGTACTGCCCAGGACTGCCTCAGATTCCCAACCCTCATTAGCTTCCTCAGGTCCTAAGATTTTAAATGTGTACCACCACAGCCAGATGCGATTACTTAATAAAAAATTTATCTTTATTATTTTTTAAATGTGTGTAAGTATATGTGTGTGTTTATGCCTCAGAGGAGAAACACATGTGGGATTCTTTCAAACTGTAAAATGATTCTTGCTACTTTAATTCATTGAATGTTGAATTCGCAGATCCACTATAAGGCAGGGAAGGGGCCTACACCCCATGCTTCCTCATTACCTACTATGACCCTCTCTTGGTCACTTTCTTTCATTTCTGATTTTGTGTCACCTTACACAACATTATATTTTCCTGGCACAGCCATTTCCCTACACATTTCATTTTTTTCTTTCCTGCTGACCAGTATTCCATCATATACATGCAGCACATTTCACCATCCCTTCTTCTGCTAACGTGCCTTTAGACTGCTTCTGCTTCTTTATTATTGCAAACAGAGAAGCAGTGGACATGGCGTGGGCTCAATTCTGCGGCAGGACACAGTCTTTTGTGGATACCCAGGCGTGAGATAGCTGGGCCATAATAGTAGTTCTGCTTTTAATACTTTGAGGAACCTCCACACTGACTTCCATGATGTCTATGCTGGCTCTCACTCCCACAGCGGTGGCTAAGGGACCTTCTTTCCTGCATCTTCCCAGCATCCGTCAGATTGCCTGGGAACGGTCATTCCGAATAAGATGAGGTGACATCTCAAAGTTATTTGAATTTGCATTTCTCTCATAAGTAAGGACACTAAACACTTTTAAAAAAAAATAGTTATTGGCCGTCTGTGCTTCTCGAGAATGTCTGTTCACATGGCTATGCCATTTCCTGACTGGCAGTTGGTGCGTTCTGGCTATTATCCCTGTGTGAAGCACAGCAGGTAAAGGTTTCTCCCATGCTGCGGGCTGTCTACCGGTTCTGTTAACAGTCTATGTGCCGTGCAGAAGCTTTTCATCTTCACGTAGTCCTCCTGTCTACTAACAATGAACTCTAAGAGAAAGAAATTAGGAAAAACTGGATTCCACTACAGCACAATGAAATTAGGTCCTTAACTCTTTCCATGCACAAAAATGAACTCAAGGTGAATTAAATACCTCAAACTAAAATCCAAAATGCTGGAATTGCAACAGGAAAACAGAGGGAACACTTTTCAAGACATTGGGGTTGTCAAGAACTTGTGCACAGAACCCTTCAGTGGCCAAGGAGCTAGTAAAAGAACCACCAGATAGGATTAATGCAATTTAAAAGTTTTTTTTTTTTTCCTTTTTGAGACAGCATCTCAATGTGGCCCAAGATGGCACTGACCTGGTCTTTCTGCTTCTGCCTCTTACATGCTGAGATTGTAGGCCCAATTGAAGCCATTTTCCCGTGAGTTAAAGGAGGGAAATAGGGCAGAAGGTGGAGAATCAAATGACTTAAAAGCTTTATTTTTACATTTTATGTGTATGAGTGTTTGCCTGCATGTATGTCTGTACCACATCTGTGCTTGGAGTTCAGAGGCCAGAAAAGGGCATTGGATTCTCTGGAACTGGATTACCGACAGCTTTGAGCCTCTACGTATGTACTGAGAATTGAACCTGGGGCCTCTATAGGAGCAGTCAGTGTTTTTAACTGCTAAATTATCTCTTCAGCCCGCTACAGTTTTCTTTTTTTGTTCCTCCCTCCCTCCCTCTCTTCTCCCCCCTCCCTTTCTTTCTGGTTCTGTGGTCAATGAAACAAAACAAACCAACAACAGATGAAGGCAATAGTAGGTTACCGTTCCTGAATCTCCCAGCTTGTGCCAGGCATTGGGTAGAGAAGTTATCTTTATTTCATCCAATTCCCATAGTAACAAGGAAACAACATAATGACCTCATCTTGTAGACGAGGAAGTGGAATCTGGGGGAGGGGGCAGAAAAAGCAGACACGCCAACGTGCTATAGCTAGTGAGTAGATTTGGAACCGAAATCATAGTGTATAACCCTGAATCAGTGCTCCATCAGCAAGTTATTCTGATGTTTTGTCTTTGATTTTCAGCACCTTCAAACCTCTAGAACGGATTACAATAAAGCAAAGAATCTGTTCTCTAAAAACGTCACCAAAAGAAAACAATTATAAAGTTGCAATCTTTAAAGTAAAGAACTAAAGGGCTAACACTTAGTGGAGTAAACATCCTTCTGCTCCCACGTGGCTTGTTGTACTTAAAACTAAATTTGATATTTAAATTTGATATTTATCTCAGGCCAAAGTGACTCATTTCTGTCAACCTCTGACTCCACTCCTGCCCAGCTCTATCATCCTGTCTGTCCCCAGCCTTCTTTGGACTGATAGACTTTATCCCCACTTACTGTCCTAGAGTAGGTGCTATCAGGCTAGTCTGAATGGCTGTGACACCACCTGGTGGCTGGTCCTCCCTTCCTTTCTTGTGCCACCTGTACCAGTTCTGTGCACAGCAGCACACTGTTTGTGTGCATTTGGAGTTGCACACCATGATGCTGAGTATGGAGATAACTGCCAGCGAGCTAGTGGTTTAAAAAACACGCAGTGCTGAACTGTGACCGAAAGCTTTCATTCCTGAAAAGTGAATATGAACGAGGGCGGCAGCATGTTGGGAGGGCCTGGCAGGAGCTGAAGGGAGGAAATGAAGGTGGGTATGATCATAACACATTGTACACATATATCAAATGTTCAAAGAACAACATCATTATAAAATAAACTGGAACACATACACGGATCCTACAGAAAAAGGAAAAGCATCAAGCCAGGGTTTTTTGTTTGTTTGTTTGTTTTTAATTTCCTTATTCTGACCCTTCTATTTGCTTCTAGACTGTAGTTATTCTTTTTGTATGTGTGTATGAGTGCTGTTGTATTTTTTCTGTAGTCATTCTTAAGCCACTGTTCCTGACACAAAAGCTCATGTGCAGCTTGTGGGACCAGTGGCTCAAAGTCGGTCACAATAGTCCCACTCTCAATCCAGGCAGTGGTGGCACACACCTTGAATCCCAGCTCTCAGGAGGCAGAGGCAGGCGGATCTCTGTGAGTTCGAGGCCAGCCTGGTCTACAAGAGCTAGTGCCAGGACAGGCTCCAAAGCTACACTGAGAAACCCTGTCTCGAAAAAACAAAACCAAAACAAAACAAAATAAAACAACAACAACAACAACAACAACAACAAAACAGTCCTACTCTAGAGTCTTCCTGACAGAAAGGCGGAGCAAGTCCGTCTGGACACCGTGGCATATGTGTTTGGTCGGACTAGCTTTTGTTTCCTTCTAGGGCTCAGCATGTAAATAGCTTAAGTTCAGTAAATATCTGTTGAATGCTTCTAAATGATTACAAGATTTGGGACACTGGAAGACAATCTAAATTACGTGTACAATAATTGGATGCTTCCATATTTAAATTTTTCTATTGACTGATTTCTTACAATGTAATTTTTGAGCTCTCTCAGGAACTGATTTCCTTTTCCATTTTTTAATACTGATCTGCAGTAATACAATATTTCGCACCAATCACATATTGTCCCTTTTATCTAAAATGCCAGTCCCTTTAAGGTTTACCTTGTAGCATGACCAAAGACTGTCGGAGCCGACTGTTTTCCTTCCGAATGTTCGTTAGTTTCTCCTTCAGGTTTCTGATTTTGGTACAAAGTTCCTCCTTGGACAGTTCTGCTAAGGGGGTTTCATCATCACTGGAGGTCTCGCCAGGCAGGAAGGCATTTCCTGAATACGGGTCTCTCTAAAAACAAGGCAGTTCCTTTAACAGCCACCCCGTGCTCTCTATGCCAAAGCTACATAAACCCACGGATGCCCATTTCCACATGCGGTTTCTACAATGTGTGGCCCCAGCTTTGTCCTCTGTCTCCCCGGAACTCAGGAAAGGATGGAAAAAAGGTTCGTGATCATCTTCAAGTAGGAGCCAGGGTTCTGACTTTCTGTCTAACCAGTGTAAAAATCAGAAGATTATATAATGTGGGAGTCATAGCAGGGCCACGGTTCAAACCTGGGCTCCTCTGAGCTGGCGCCTGCCTTGTGTTAAGTACTTCAAAATCTGACTTATTTTCTCCATCTGGGTTAGTATGCCAGCATGGGGGCACAGTCGTTAATTCTAGGACTTTGGCAGTGGAGCCGGGAGGTCAGCCTGAGATACAGAGTGAGCTCCAGGCCAGTTTGGGCTGAACAGAAAAGAAAAAAACCTTGTCTTTTTTTTTTCTTTCTTTTTTTTAAGAGGAAACTTAACAAGCTGAACAAGCTGACGGCAAATTCTTGCACTGTGTACCAGCTACAGATGATTAGGAACAGTTCAAAAAGATGCCACACATTGACGTATTGTAAGGAGTAGTCACACAAGTACAGGGTGGCCGCTAACATACGGGTGTGACGGGCTCTTAGTGTGATGGTGACCATCTAATTCTCTAGATAGAAAGGAAAAGGTCCGACAAGTACATTTTTGTAGAATATCTTGACTCTTTTCCAGTCTTAGAGTCTAAGTCTTTTATATTTATTTTTGCATCTTGCTTTGAGAATAGGTGTCATTAATGAATATCAAAAAAGAGCAAACTCTTTATGAGGAAAACAAAATCCATTGCTGAAACATGCCCTCAACATAGAAGGAAAAGTTCAGAGATGAAAGGCCATATGTAAAAATACTGATTATCCTCCAGTGGAACTATATTAAGTTAATGCAATTCCAATGAAAATTTAAAATTTGACTATAAGTTTGTGAACACAACAGCCAAGAATATCAAAAGAGTTCTTAAAGATATCAGAAATTGAGACTTCCTATCCAAATTTAAGGTATTAAAATTAATTAAAAATTCAGAATAATTCAGCTTGGTATTGCCACAAAGCTAATTCTATGATTTACTGTGTCAGAGAGGGAAAGAACAGATTTACCCAAAAGAAAGCTTGTGTTTACCTTTTAGTTTTACAAATAGCTTTTGAGGTCAAAAGTAAGAGAACAACGTCTCAAATGGTGTGAGATTAAAAAAAAATGCTGGAACTACCAAACTGGTATGTGCACACATATACATGTATGCATACAACACATATATATATATACATGCATATAAATATACATGTATATGCATGCACGTGTACATACATAAATATACACACATATATCAGAGCCAGTGTGTGTATGTGTGTGTCTGTGTCCGTATACATCACTGGAGATTTCAGTGTTGAAGGCTACTTATAAAGACCAAAAATCAGATGTGTGTAGTGTGAAGGTTTTAACAAATGAGCCTGAGAGTAGAAAAGAGGGAGGCAGTGACACAGGGGAAGCTCATGCTATGAGACGTTCTGGTGCTTGGAGTGGGAGCCTGGAGAACAAAGAAGAGGAGTTTCAGAAAATCATAGCCAAATGCCTGCATTCCTCCTCTACTGGTTCTTTTGGCAGAATTTCAGGAGTAGGGACACAGGAGGTCAACATCCACCCAAGAGGGGGCGATGGAGCAGCAGACTAGCTCCTTGTTTGTTATCAGTGTATTCTACAGTCTCTAAAGAGGCTCTGGGTCACACAAAACTTCAGGGCAGCATGTGGCCTCTCTGGGCCATAGATTAGAAACAGTCAAACTGATGTTTAGGTAAGAAGTTGAAAACAGGCATCTTGACTCTCCAGAGCTAGTGTAAAGCAGCGAGGAAATCCAGAAGGTCCTCATGGCCTGGTCAGGGGTTAAGCAAGTGTTTGGGGGAACTGACAAAAGAAAGAGAGACGACACAAAGCGCCAGATCTTGTGGAAGGTAGCCATGGGTGCCAAGCTGTCAAAGTCTGGGGGTAGAGGCAACAGAATCCCCCCAAAGGGCCTGGAAGGTTGGCTCATCAGGAACACTGATGGATACCCAGGGACCAGTGGACATTAAGAACTTTGGTAGAAGAGATATGTCCCTCCCCAAATGTTGAGATGATATGCAAGCCTTCTCCAAAGCTGGATCAATTCCCAACGAAAAGAGTAGAATGGGGGAGGGTAAGAATGTAGGGCTGATCGAAGCTTAGATCTTGAAGTGACTCAAATAGTAAAACAACAGCTCAAAAGGAATGCTTCATGGTGAAGGGAGAAGTCTAGGATTTATTGTTCGGTTTGGGTTTGGTTTGATCTTACCAAGCAGGGATAGAGAATTGAAAGCCCGATGAGAACAGTCACGGGAAAATGGAACCACACTTTTGTATGATTTATGTTATGTATATTCAATTCTCACAAACACATGAATATGTATTTCACAGACCCAGAACCCCAAAGAAAAGTTGGCGAAGGAAGAGAGTGCTCACTGTGTCTAAGTAGCTATGCTTTCTCACTTCTTCATGGAAATAGGCATCGAGGACATGCAACTCTCAGCTGAAGACTTCATTTCCCAGATTTCTCTGCTTCTCATTGTGGCTACACTTAAGTTCCTGCATGACCAGAAACAATATGTGCCATTGCTGGTCCATAAACTCAAAGGAATGAAAAGCTTCCTGCCTGAATTTCCTTTTCCTGAAAACATTAGCGGCCGTTAGACACAGACAAAGTTGTAAGTTGAGGAAGATGGATCAACAATGTGAGAATCTTCAACACCGTGCAGCTTCCATGTAATGTTAAACTTCAAGATTGGAGAGATGTCCCAAAGAAGAAAAAAAAAACGCACAAATTAACATCACCAACGATGAAAACTAAATTAACAAGAGATAGCAATCACTGGTTATTAATATCCCTTAATGTAAATGGACTCAACTCACCTATAAAAAGGCACAGGCTAACAGATTGGATACGAAAACAGAATTCATCCCTCTTCTGCATACAAGAAACACATCTCAACCTCAAAGACAGACATCGTCTCAAGAGTAAAGGGTTGGGAAAAACTATACCAATCAAATGGACCTAAGAAACAAGCGAGTGTAGCTACCCTAATATCTAACAAAATAGACTTTAAGCTAAAATCAGTCAAAAGAGACAAAGAAGGTCATTTCATATTAGTCACAGGAAAAATCCATCAAGAGGAAATTTCAGTACTGAACATCTATACCCCAAATACAAGGGCACTTTCATCTGTGAAAGAAACACTTCTAAAGCTTAAATCATACATTAAACCCCACACACTAATAGTGGGAGACTTCAACATTCCCCTCTCACCACTGACAGGTTAATCAGACAAAAAAAATGAACAGAGAAATAAGAGAACTAACAGATGTTATGACTCAAATGGACTTAACAGACATCTATAGAACATTCCATCTAAACATAACAGAATATACCTTCTTCTCAGCACCTCATGGAACCTTCTCAAAAATTGACCACATACTCGGTAACAAAACAAACCTCAACAAATACAAAAATATTTGGAATAACCCAATGTACCTTATCAGATCACCATGCTTTAAAGCTAGAAGTCAACAGCCATGCTAATTCCAGGAAACTCACAAACACATGGAAATTAAACAATGCTCACCTGAATCATCAATGGGTCAAGAAAGGAATAAAGGGAGAAATTAAAGACTTCCTAAAATTCAATAAAAATGACCACACAACATGCCCAAATTTATGGGACACAATGAAAGCAGTGTTAAGAGGAAAGTTTATAGCACTAAGTGCCTATATAAGGAAGTTGGAAAAATCCCACACTAGTGAATTAAGAGAATATTTGAAAACTTTAGAACAAAAAGAAGCAAACTCACTTAAGAGAACTAGATGACAGGAATTAATCAAAGTGGGTGCTGAACTCAGCAAAATAGAAACAAAGAAAACAATACAAGGAAGCAATGAGACAAAGAGCAGGTTCGAGAAGAATCAACAAAATAGACAAACCTTTATCCAAACTAACCAAAAGACACAGAAAGAATATCCAAATTAACAAAATCAGAAATTAAAAGTGGGACATGACAACAGACATGGAGGAAATACAGAGAAAAATCAGGTCATATTTCAAAAACCTGTACTCCACAAAATTAGAAAACTTAAAGGAAATGGACAACTTTCTGGATAAATATCACTTACCAAAATTAAATAAAGACCAGATAAGCAAATTAAACAGACCTGTAACTGCTGAAGAAATAGAAAAAGTCATCAAAAGTTTCAAAAAAAAAAAAAAAAGCCCAGGACCAGATGGTTTCAGCTCAGAATTCTACAAGGCTTTCAAAGAAGAACTAATACCAATACTCCTCAAATTATTCCACACCATAGAAACAAAAGGAACACTGCCAAACTTTTTTTTTAATGAGGCTACAATTACCCTGATACCCAAACCATAGAAAGACATTACTAAGAAAGAGAATTACAGACCAATCTTACTCATGAACATTGATGCAAAAATACTAAATAAAATATTGGCATATCAAATCCAAGAACACATCAGAACCATCATCCACCATGATCAAGTCAGCTTCATCCCACAGATGCAGGGATGGTTCAACATACGAAAATCTGTCAACATAATCCACCATATAAACAAGCTGAAAAATAAAAACCACACGATCATTAGGTGCTGAAAAAGCTTTTGATAAAACACAACATCCCTTCATGATAAAAGTCTTGGAGAGAGCAGGGATACAAGGAACATACCTAAACATAATAAAGGCAATATACAACAAGCCAACAGCCAACATCAAACTAAATGGAGAGAAACTCCCGGCGATTCCACTGAAATCAGGAACAAGACAAGGTTGTCCACTCTTTCCATACCTATTCAATATAGTTCTTGAGATCCTAGCTAGAGCAATAAGACACCAAAGGGAGATCAAGGGGATACAAATCGGGAAAGAAAAAAAAAAAAAGAAAAGTCAAACTCTCACTGTTTGCTGATGATATGATACTTTACATAAGCGATCCCAAAAATTCTACCAAGGAACTTCTACAACCCTTAAACACTTTTAACATTGTAGCAGGATACAAGATTAACTAAAAAGAACCAGTAGCCCTCCTGTACACAGATGATAAAAGGGATGGGGAAGAAATCAAAGAATCAACACCCTTCACAATAACCACAAATAGCATAAAATATCTCGGAGTAACTCTAACCAAACAAGTGGAAGACTTGTATGACAAGAACTTTAAATTTTTGAAGAAAGAAATTGAAGAAGACACCAGAAAGTGGAAAGATCTCCCATTCTCTTGGGTATGCAGAATTAACATAGTAAAATGGCAATCTTACCCAAAGCAATCTATCGATTCAACACAATGCCCATCAAAATCCCAGCAAAATTCTTCAAAGACCTCGAAAGAATGGTACTCAACTTCATTTGGAAAAGCAAAATACCCAGGATAGCAAAAACAATCCTGTACAATAAAAGAACTTCTGAAGGCATCACAATCCCTGACTTCAAACTCTACTACAGAGCTACAGTACAGGAAACAGCCTGGTATTGGCATAAGAACAGACAGGAGGACCAATGGAACTGAATAGAAGACCCGGATATCAATCCACACATCTTTGAACACCTGATCTTTGATAAGGAAGCAAAAAATATCAAATGGAAAAAAAGAAAGCATATTTAACAAGTGGTGCTGGCATAACTGGATATCAACATGTAGAAGAATGAAAATAGACCCATATCTATCACCATGCACAAAACTCAAGTCCAAATGGATCAAAGACCTCAACATAAAGCCAGCCACACTGAACCTTATAGAAGAAAAAGTGGGAAGTACACTTGAATGCATTGGCACAGGAGACCACTTCCTAAATATAACCCTAGCATCACAGACACTGAGAGAAACAATTAATAAATAGGACCTCCTGAAACTGAAAAGCTTCTGTAAAGCAAAGGACATGGTCAAAAAGACAAAATGACAGCCTACAGGATGGGAAAAGATCTTCACTAACCCCATATCAGACAGAGATATGATCTCCAAAATATACAAAGAACTCCAGAAATTGGACACCAAAAGAACACATAATCCAATAAAAAAAAAATGGAGTACAGACCTAAACAGAGAACTCTCAACAGAGGAATCTAAAATGGATGAAAGACACTTAAGGAAATGTTCAGCATCTTTAATCATCAGAGAAATGCAAATCAAAACCACTCTGAGATTCCATCTTACACCTGTAAGAATGGCCAAGATCAAAAACACTGACAACGACTTATCCTGCAGAGATTGGGAGGAAAAGGGAACACTTCTGCATTGTTGGTGGGAATGCAAGCTGGTACAACCCCTGGTATGGCAATTTCTCAGAAAATTAGCAAACAACCTTCCTCAAAACCCAGTAATACCACTTTTGGGTATATATATCTACCATAAAGCTTGAAAGGTTATGGATATTGGCTGATAAACAATGTAGAACTGTTTATTGTCTGGGCCAGTCGGGATTAGCTGGAGCCAGTAACTTAATCCCTTGTAAAAATCTGTCGAAGATTCCTGTAAAGTATCCCATTTCTTATTTGTGAGATGCTTTCTATGCTGTTCAATAAAGATAGAGCAAGCCCTTTGTCAGGGACAGTCACACCACAGCCACACAACAGACGTACACAGACAATCACACACAGAGAGCACAGGTGCCCAAAAACAGGACAGACAGACACAGGGATTGATTATAGATTAACAAGACAGCCTTCAGGCTCAAACAACATGCAGATAGGTGACACAGGGAACACGAAGCAGAGACTCCAAATCTGGACTTCCTCTTGGTTCAATGATGCGAAGAGGAAGTGCCTTTATTTCTTTTTTCAGTGTGACACCAGTGCATTATTGGTGACTTGGAGTTAATCACAAATGAGTTTAATCCATGCAATCTTACAACGTCTAGGCAAATGAACAGAAACACACACACAATTCTAAGCCACAGCTCATCCTCCCATGCATTTCAAACGGAGATAACCGGTAGGGTGTAGTTGTGCAAATGGATGGGTTTTAGGGGTTCTAGCCCTGAAAACAAAACACAAAGATGGATAGCTATATAAGCTGATAGCAATGTGAATTTGTCTCTTCAGAACATGTTTTACGAGTTATATGTATCTCATAATATGAAGTCATATAAACAACTTTGGGAAAATGCAGTGCTTATTGAAAAATCAGAAGCAAATGAAGACTTAGATAAGGATATCCACGGGCCACTAACTGCTATGAAGATAGCATTTTACGGTGCAGACTGCCTGGCAATAGGAAGAGTACTGAAAATCACTCCACACATGATGGCTACCTGGAGGACGGGGCCTTTAGACAGGAGGACAACAGAGCTGGTGAAAAGAAAGGTAGTCTGTCAGTGGGAGTATCTTCAAATGGTGAGAAGAAAAGCAAAGTGCAGAGCGGTGTGTGTGGTAAGCCACGTTTTGTTGTAGGTAAGAAATGCAGGGAGGCTGGAAAGCAATAGTGGGAGGGAGAGGGGTATGAACAGAGATGGGAATACGAGGCAGACACCACTTGTATTTATACGAGGCAATGTTTAAAAATTAACATGGAAATATAACATGCTATATGTATTCCAAAACATGTACAAATGTGTGGTTGTATGAAGACACATAAATCAAAATAGAGAATGACCGTGTCAGTTAGTTGTTCAAAGCATTGGAAGAGAAAGGAACGGGGAGGGCAGCCATGATCTAGGTCCTAAACAGAGAGTAAGACTATGTCTTAACAAAGAAACAACCAGTTTCCACAAAGTGTCTAATGAGGAAAAGTATTTTCAGACACAGTTTGATGATCTTTTGTTGTATAGAACAGCAAACAGAATTTGAACAATGACATCTGATCCTGGCTGAAATGAAGTAGGGAAAGGGCCTATTGACTATGTTTCTAACTCAAGCTTTAGTTGAGAGAAGCTATATTCTCTCAACTGAATAAAGAATAAACACAAATTACTAGGAAAGGGGAGAAAGTACCGAGAAGCAGTTGTAGGCACTGTAGACTATGCTTGAGCTAGACAAGATTAAACCAAAGCAACAGAAAACCAACCTGTGCTTTATCCGTGGCGCTGTTTGTATTCTCCGTGTTCGCTGTCTCTGTCCGTTTCCTCTTTCTTTTCCTAAGAACTTGGTTATCGGTAATTTCACCTGTCTGCAAGATCTTCTGCATCTTCTCAGGTAGTCAGCGAAAGCTTTCGGAAACCGTCGAAGGCAGAGACTCCCATGTAGGTGCTGCTCTTCTGCAAGCAGCTAATGCTTCTCCTTAAAAACAAAAACACAACGGAGGGTGCATCAGGCCGCTGCTTCCGCCTGCTGCCTGCTCAGGCTCCCGCAGAAGGCTTTCTGCCCTTGCGTTACCCACTGGCCAGGTTGGAGGACATTTTTCATTAGACTCAAAAGCCTTTCAGCTTTGGCATCCCCATCAAGGTGGCATCACCCATGTTGTGATGTGTAGTAAGCTGGCCTAAAAATTCAAATAGTATATAAAAATAATTTCCAACTGTTGTTCTCATCAAGTAGCAGTGAAGAACCAACAAATTTTTCAAATTATATATATATGTATATATATACACACACACAGCATCACATAGTCCTGAGGTTATGTGCACCTAGGAAAATATATTAATACTAATGGACAGTACCAGGATCAAAGATGGAAGTATTTCTGAGAAGTCAGTAAGTGAGAATTGCATAGAACTGAGCTTTGCTGTAGAAGGCGTTTTTCTCCCTGACAACTCTGAAGTCTTAGGAAGGAAAGGCTGCAGAAGCCGAGACTTAGCCTTGGCTGTGTGTAGCTGGGGCAGCACATTAGGTCTCACTTCATCTTCACAGCATCTGCTTTAATTGCTTTGTTTCATAAGTATTTATTTATAAATAATAAAACTTTCCAGAGAGATTGTGCATATGGATCTTCATGAAGCATGTGGATAACTGAGCAAACAGTAACATTTTGTTTATCAAATTGCTATATTAGCAAATAAAAAATTAACGTTTTATTCACAAAATTCATAATAAACATGGAGTACAACTTTTTGTTGGTTATATTTACTCATGTAAAGAGTGGAGTTTTCAAGATAACATTATAGTTGGGCATGGAGGTTCACACCTGTAATGCTAGCATTTCCGAGATGAAGACAAAAGGATCTTGTGTTCAAGTGAGATGCATTTTCAAAATTCCCAAATAAAATAAAACTAAATACACAAAAAGTAAAACAACAGAAGGATAGCATTTTGCTCATTTGGGGTTCAAATTAAATGTTTGTTTTCAGAAACATAATTTCAAATGCTGTGGGGGGGCACATGTACCATCGTGTGCATGTGGAGGACAGGAAACAATGTGGTGGGTTCAGGGATTGAACTCGGGTCTCCAGGCTTATATGGTTACTTGGTTTCTTAGTGACTGGCATTCCGACTGTGCTGAGATGGCTTCTCACTCTAGCTTTACTTTGTGTTTCTCTGATGACTAGTGAGATCGAGCATTTCTTCATGTCTTTAATGGCATATTTGTCTATTTCATTTCCCCCATTATTGATGAGGCTGCTTGGTTTCTTGTTTTAATTTTGATGGATATTGCCTTGAGTTTACAGATTAATATTGGCACTACAGTCATTTTCACAATATTAATATAACATGGGAGGATCTTCTCTGGTCTTGCCTGTCTAGGGTTCTATTGCCCCAGCACCAGCTTTACAGGTGTAGACACCAGAACCAGGTGCACCACACCTTTTATGCAAATCCGTAGGTGAAGTTTATATTTTATGTATTCCTTCTTTCATGATGTCTTTCACCACTGATATAAACTGCTATGTGTTGATATCAGACTACAGACTAATAAAAATTTTAACTGAGAACTGGTTAGGGAAAAGTTCTTCAATGGCCCATCTTTCTGGATTTTGAAAGAGGGACAGTTTCTTCAAATGGATTAATTTCTACATTCATATGACCACCAAAGTTAAACCAAGAAGAGATAATGAATTTAAACAGACCTACCATAAGCAATGATATTGGAACAGAAATGAAAAGAAAACTCAAGACAAAAGAAGGCCCAGGTCCAAGTAGGTACAGCACAGAATTTTACCAGTCCTTGAAAAGAAGAACTGAAACCAGTGCTTCTCGCATTACTCCCTAAAACAGAAAGGGAAAGAATGCTTCCAAATTCTTGTGATGAAACCAGCATTATGACATTCATAGCTAAATCAGATAAAGAAATCATACACAAAAAATTATAAACCAATCTCCCTGATGAACAGAAACACACAAGCTGTCAACAAAATCTTTGCAAACTGAATTCAAGAGCACAGCATCAAGACCCTCCACAATGATTTCTGGGTCAAACCAGGGAGGCAGGGGATGGTTCAATGTCTCTCTACCAATAAGTGCAAAGCAATACATAAATAGACCCAAGGACTGAGATCTCCTGATCCTCTCAACAGAGGCAGAGAAAAGCATTTCATAAAAACCCAACATCCCTTTTTGATGAAAGCCCCACAGAGACTAGGTATAGCGGGACTATATCTCAACATAGTAAGGGCCATTACGTCAAGCCTGTAGCTAACCATCTGCTAAGTAGAGAAAAATCTCCAAGCATTTCCGCTAAAATCAGGCATGAGACAAGGGCCTTCATTCTTTTAACTCCCTTTTAAAATCATGCTTGAGGTTTTAGCTACAGCAGTAAGAAAAGAGAAGGAAGTAAAAGGATTATAAGAGGAAAGGAAGATGTCAAAGTGCCCTTATTTGTAGATGACATTGATGTGGGATATCCTTCTGTATATGTGTTGCTTTTATTAGCTAATGAATAAAGAAGCTGCGTCGGCTTATGGCAGGGCATAATATACCTAGACTGGAAGAAATATAGAGAGAAAAAATGCGGGGCCAGGCAGATGTCATATAGCTGCAGAATGAGGCAGATGTCATGTAGTTGCCCAAGAAGCAAGAGGTAACAAACCATGAACTTCATGGTAAAATATAAAATAATAGAAATGGGTTAATTTAAGATATTAAGAGTTAGCTAGAAAGATGCCTAAGCTATTGGCCAAACAGTATTGTAATTAACATAGTTTCTGTGTGATTATTCGGGTCTGGGCAGCTGGGAAACGAAAGGTCAGTCTATGCCTACATGATATGATTCTATACACAGAGATCCTAAAGACTCCACCATAAAACCCCTACAGCTGACAAACATCTTCAGCAAATTGACAGGATACAAAATTATTATAAAAAAAATCATGGGAGACCTACCTTTTCCTAAACAGCGATGAAAGAGGAGTGGTTTGGGGTGTGAGAACAGAGAGGGATTGTGGGGGAGGGACTGGGAGGAGAGGAGGGAGGGGAAACTGCAGCTAGGATATAAAATAAATAAATAAATAAATTTTAAGATGAATATTCCCATTAAAAAGTCACGCTGAGGACAAACATACAAAGAAAAAAATTGGGGGAAAATTCTATTCTTAATTCAAAACAAAACAACAAAAACAAAACAAGAAAAAAATCTTAAAAAAAATAAAAAAAGAAAAAAAAGAAAAAAAAAAAGAAAAAAATCTTGCCTTGGAATAAACCTAATTAAGAAGTGAAAGACCTTTACAAATAAAAACCTTAAAATAATGAAGAAAAAGATTGAGAAAAACACTAGAAGATGGAGAGACTTCCCATGCTCAGGGATTAGAAGAATCAGCATTGGGAAATGGACATTTTTTGAAAAGCAATCTACAGATTCAATGCAATTCCATGTAACTATCAACTTCATTCTTCACAAAAATAGAAAATCAATCAAAAAAATTCACATGGAAACACAAAGACAATGCATGACTGAACCAGTCCTGAAATACAAGAATGCTGTTAGTGGTGCTACTATACTTGATTCCAAGTTACACTACAAACCCATAATAATAGAAACAGCATGGGACCGGCGCAAAACAGACACTTAGATCAATGGCGTAGAAAGAGGGGCCAAATATAAGACGATGGAAGCAAAGTTGCCTGGATGGAAGCAAAATTACCTGCGTTTTTATATGAGGAAAAAAATGCACACTGGAGAAAAGATAGCATCTTCAACAAATGGTGCTGGGAAAACTGAATATCAGCATGTGGACAGAATGAAACTAGATACTTTTCTCTTACCCTGACCAAAAAGTCACCCAGTAACAAATGGCACACCATAAAATTAATGTTTCTATACAACACAGGAAACTGTTGATTTTGTTAAGAAATAGCTCACAGAATGGGAGAAAATATTTGCCAATTACACATCAAACAAAGGATCAATGTCTAGATTATACAAGTAAATAAAAAACTAAATATCAAGAAATTAGCTAAGAGCTGGAGAGATGGCTCAGTGGTTAAGAGCACTGACTGCTCTTCAGAGGATCAGGGTTCAATTCCCAGCTCCCACAATGGCAGTTCGCGACTGTCTGTAATTCTTGTTCCGGGGGATCTGACACCCTCATACAGACATACATGCAGGCAAAACACCACCGTGCATTGGTATATTGAATAAAGAAGGTTCAAAACAATATTAATGGCTAATAAATACTTTCAAAGCATTCATTATCGTCCACCATCAGAGAAACACAAATTGAAACTGTGAGATTCATCTCACTTTGGTTAGAATAGCTATAATTAAAAACTCAAATGATAGCAGACACGTATGATGTGGAGAACAGGGATCCTATTCACTGTTGGTAGGAGTATAGACCGGCTTAGTCACTAGGGAAATCTGTATGGCGATTATTTAAAAAGATTGAAATAAAAACTACAGAGCATCAAGCTATGCTACTCTGGGCAGATACCCAAGGAACTCTCCATCCTATCACAGACACTTGCTCACCCATGTTCACTGCTGTTCTCTTCATAATAGTCAGCCTAAATGTTCACCAAAACATGAATTGATAATGAAATTGTGATACATACACACATTTTTATATTTAATTTCTTTACTTAGTTGTTTACTGAAATTATAAAAATTGGTGGGAAAATGGATAGAACTGAAAAAAAGACTATACTGTGTGAGATAACCTTGGCATAGAAAGACAAGTATCAAATGTTCTCTCTCATATGTGGGTTCTAGCTTTGACTTTGTAGATCCATGTCTTTAACTTGAGCTATCAGTAGAATTCAGAAACCTAGAAAGTGACCACTGTTGGGGAGTACCTTCAGAGAGAGAGGAGCTGGTGGAACAGTGGTTCTCAACCTTCCAAATTCTAGGACCCTTTAGTACAGTTTCTCATGTTGGGGTGAGCCCCCAACCATAAAATTATTTTTGTTGC